GAAAACGATGAAGTCCTGGTGGCTGGTTTTGGTCGCAAGGGTCACGCTGTGGGTGACATTCCTGGAGTCCGTTTCAAGGTTGTCAAAGTAGCCAATGTTTCTCTGTTGGCCTTGTACAAAGGCAAAAAAGAAAGGCCAAGATCATAAATTCCTTTGTGGCAGCTAATAACTAATAAAATGGTTTTTTTTCTTCATTTGATAAATATTTGTGTGACTTTCTGTGCCATAACTGAATGGTTTATACATACATACTCTGCCCAGTATGAGATGCTGTTGTGCACAGTATCGGGGGGGGATGTGTTTGAGTGAACATTTTTCCTGGGATGATTCTGAAGCTGAGCACCAACCTGGTTTTGGAGCAGACAGCAATAACTTATTTTGAAGCATATAGTCAAAGGGGGGAAAAAAACCCTCATGCCAGAATTTTCACAAAATCCTACAGAAGTCTAAAAATGAAAACAAGAAATAGCAAAACCTACAGGACCATCATCTCTAACCTCTATTCTTGGAAATTCTTAATGCATTAGTAGATACATTTTTTCCTTCATAAACAAAAGCCATAGTCCATTTCAATACATCTATTTTACTAATTCATCTATTTCATTCCTAGTCAAATTTTACATATTTAAAGGTTCTTATGCTCTTAAAATTGTAAAGCAAGTAGTTTAGTAATTTCCCTATTCTTAAAATTACGATGTTGGTATTGCTTTTGATGAAGATACTTGCTTAGAGAAGTATTCTGTTACCTCCTGAAACTGCTCCTTGGCTTTCTAGTTCTGTTTGTTTGGGGGTTTGGTTTTTTGTTATTGACTCGATTATTTACTCTGTCCAGATTACAGGGCTGTTTCTCTTCTTATCTTCAAAACCACCCAAAGTATGTATTTTCTATTTAAACTGTAAACATACATTGTGTTAAAAAAAAGATACATTTAAATCTAATTATTGCCCCTTCACAGTAATTCCAAAAAGGGAAATGAATGTTCATCACTTGTTCCTTTAGGAGTGGATTCCCTGATGAAGCAGATGTGCCTGCTCATTTGGCATCTGCTGAAGTTTGTGCCTGCTGAAGTTTGGCAGAAATGACTTAAAGTAGCTCTGAAAATTAATAAATGTCTGTTTCTGTTACAGAGATTTACTCTGGTATAAATCCAATAAAGAATTAGGAGGAATGTAAGCATTTAAGTCAAAAAGTGCAAGAGAGATGTGGTTTGGCAACCACTTAAACTCCTTAGGTACCTTCCTAGTTCATGTTAAACAAACCATTCTTGGAAGAGTTCTGCTCATGCTACGAACACCTTGTGTCTGCTGAGACACAAATGTGCTGAGGAGGTGGAACTCGGGCACGTTTCCTCACCTGCTTCACTGAGTGACCTCTAAGCGCATTAAGGCAGCATGGAGGGACAGCTCCAGCTCCAGCTCCAGGTGAGGCCGTTTCTTTCCCCACTGGAGAGCTGTCGCCGTGCCCGCGTAACCAGTGCAGCGCATCAGACGTGCGCCTCTTTCCCTGGGGTTGTGGGGCTGAAGCTTCCCCTCTCGGGAGCAACTGCGCCTAAAGGCTGGGAGCTTTCAGGCCGTGCTGAGAGCGCAGCCTCTCCTATTTCCCTTCGCCCCGGAAAACGCTGCAGGCGCCGGCGAGGAGCGCGCGAGGAGCCTGGCCAAGGTAACGGCGCTCCCGCCTCCCCGGGCGGGATCCGCGGCGCCGCGAGAGGAGCCCGCGCCCCGCCCTCGCCTGCCCGCCCGGACACGTCCGCCACTGAGGAGCGTTAAAAGCAAACTGATACTAATTAAAAGTAAAGACTAGCTAAGCGGTAGAGAGGTGTCGGAACCTACTTGGAGGCTGCGCCTGTGAGACGCGTCGCCGCCGCCGCTAACGGCCGCCGCCAACGGCTGCGCGCCGCAGCGGCCC